TGGGTGTGAAAGTGTCTCTATTGCATCATGACTTAAATTTATTGGCAATATGGCCAAAAGTGGTTATCACTAGATGACATGCAAGTTCTAGGTTACTTTTTCTGAGGAACCTCCATACTGAATTTCATAGTGACTGTACTAATTTATATTCCTTCCATGAGTATAAATGTGCTATTTTCCCTCAATCCCCTCCTCAGCATCTTGGCCAGAATTTGTTGATCAAAGAACTCTGATTCTTTGATCTCAGCCTCTCAAGTAGCTAGAATTACTGGAGTAAGCCACCAGTGCCTGGCCATTTATGATTATGAAAATTGCTATCATGTCTTGGGTGAGATGGAATCTCAATGTCATCTTAATGGCTACTGAGCCATACACCAGTCCAGTGGTGAGAAAAGTACTTCATCCTTACACTACACTGGCCTGAACACTGAGAATTCTTCAAGGAAAGGATACAGATAATTAAGCTTATAGTGAACAAATTGGCTTCAGAAGCACAAGTCCCAATGCAGAAACAAAAGAAGTATGAAAAAAGACAGCATAGGTCCTCCAAAACTCAACAACTCCACAGTAGCAAAGACTAATTATTGTGAAGTGGATGAAATATCAGACAAGGAATTTAAAAATGGTTTTAAAAATGATAAGTAAAATTAAAGATGACACAAAAGTAGTGCAAATAAAGAGCTCAATGAAATAAGACAATGCAAGACATCAAAGAGGAATTGAATAGGGTTAGAAATTCTAAAAAAAATTAATATGGAAATGAAAAACTCATTGATTCAAATAAAGAACTCTGTTAATAGTCTCTCCAGTAGACAATCAAATTGAGAACAGAGCATCAGGGTTAAAAGACAAGGTGTGTATATTGCAACATTCAAATAAAGATAAAGAAAAAAATAAATATTGAATGGAACATGCAAGAACTTGGGATCCCACAAAAACCAAGTTTAAGAATTATGGGTATACAAAGAGAAGAGGCAAGTGAAAGACAGAAAATATTTTCAATGGAGTAATAACAGAAAATATCCCAAATCTTGAGAGGTAATCATCCAGGAACAGGAAGGTTTTTGACTTGCATGACCAGAAAAAGACTTTCCAAGGCATATTACATTTTAAACATGTGTATACAGAACAAGGAAAGACTATTGAAGGACACAGGAGATAAACACCAATATACACACATAGAAAGGCAAACCAATTGGAATAATAGTAGATTTCTCAACAGGAACTTTTTAAATTCATTTATTCATATGTGCATACATTGTTTAGGTCATTTCTCGCCCTCTGCTGCCCACCGTCTTCTCAATTCTCCCATAAAAAACACAGAGATTGTTTTTGCCTCCAAGAAATGTACATCTCTGCACGGTTAAACTCTCTCTTAGTGTGAAGGAATAAATAGGTTTTTCCAACAAAGTGGAGCCTGAAAGCAAGCAGGAGTAGCTATACAAAGAGTTGATAAAGGACAATTCAATCTGAATTTATTCAGACATGATAAGGAAGGTCACTTCATATTGAAAAAGGGCTTAATCAGGATGTTATAACAAATGTAAATGATGTTACAACAAACAACGGCACCCGAATTTCATAACACAAACAGGAAATAAAATACAGATGGACACCAAACACAATAATAGTGCATGATTCAATACTCCCACTCATCAACCATGAAACTCAGAATTAAAAGAAACTGTAGATCAAATATATCTAATCGACATACACAGACTATTGCACCCAATAGCTACATAATATACATTCTTATCAGCAGCTTATAGAATTTTCTCCAATATAGATCATATTTTAGGCCATAAAGCAAGTCTTAACACATAAAATAAAATTTAAAAGCTTTCTGTATTTTATCATACCACAACACAATGAAAATAGAAATTAAAAAAAGAGAAATTAGAGAAAATATTCACATAGATACTGAACAAACCATGAATCAATACCTCATCAAAGGAATAGGTGGGATAATAAAAAATTCCTAGAATCAATTGAAAATGAAAATAAAATGTGTCAGAACTTTTGTGATAGAGTTCTAAGAAGAAAATTTGTAGGTGATATTTACATTTTAAAAAATCTGAGAGATTTCCAGTAAAAAACTTCAAGATCTTAGAAAAATAAGGAAAAAAGTAAACTGAAAAGAAGTAGATAGAAAGAAATAATAAAGACCAGGGAAGAAAGTAATTATATTAAGACTTTAAAACAATAACAAAAAGTCAATGAAACTAAGAGTTCATTTTTTGAAAAGATAAACACGATTGATAAATGCTTAGCAAAATAAAGCAAAGAAATGAGGATAAAGGGAACATCAGAAGAAATACCAATGAAATTCACGAGGGAATGCTTTGAAAACTTATATTTTAATAAGCTGGAAAATCTAGAAGAAATGAGAAAAATTCTTTATACATATGACTAACAAAAAAATGAATCAAGGAAATACAAACAACACTTTCAATTTGACACCAAACAATAACATTGAAGCAGTAACAGTCTCTCTGCAAAAAATTGCTCACAATAGGGTGATTTCACTGTTGAATTCTATTAGAATTTAAAGAGGAAATAACGTCAATGTACACCATAAAATAGAAAGGGAAAGTATACGCTTTCCAAATATTACATAAACTAGAAAGGAATTCTACCCAATTAATTTTATGCAGCCAAAAATATGTATACCAGAAAAGAACACTGCAAAGAAAGAAAATTACAGTTCAATTTCCTTGAAGAAAATAGACATCAAAATTCTCAATAAAATATTTACAAATTAAATTAAATATCATATTATAAAGTTCATATACCATGACCAATACAGGATTGCTCAACATACACAAATAATAAATAATAAATAAATACATCACTTAACACAACAAAGGATAAAAACACATGATCATCTGAACATATTCAGAAAGAGCCATGACAAAAATCTGTCATTGTCAGTTTTTACGTTCTGTAATATAGACAGACTCCTTGGGAAGTCATAGAAGGCTTAATTTTGCACTTACTCATTCTTTCTGAGAATCCAAACACCATCTGCTAGCCCTTCATGCACTCCTCTGCTGCTGACACCCAAGAGAGAAGCATCCCTTCCCTCCAGCCTGTCCCTCTGCAGATCCTCATAACTCAGTTAAAGTTTCTCCTACTTACTGACAGGAAAAGTGCTTTAAGGATAATTTCAACTCCCTAAGCAGACACTGTCATCACAGTGTTCTGTGGCATAATCATCTTGCCACTGGGAGGATGACATCTGAGAATAAGAAACCTACTTCTTGGCTTGCTAAATCCCTTCTACCTGTAAGAGGACTCTCCCAGACACTGAATCCACCTCCTGAAACCAGAGTCAGAGGCACAGGTGAGTTCCTTTATTTCAGGCCCACAGTCTACAGAGAATAGGACTGTCTCCAGGAAGCTGGGTGAAGATTGCTGTTTGAATCTGTCTTCTTTCAGGAGAACTATCTGGCACAGACTGAATTCCCACTGTGGAGAGAATTTTCCTTGAGAGCTGAGTGGTATATGGGTGGAGGAAGCCTACAGGTGAGAGGTGACTTGTTTCATGCACTCTGCGTTTTGGGGGCTCTTTGCCAAGAGAGAGATTGTGGGTTCCCTTCTAGCCAGGACAGGTTCTGGTGGTAAAATGCTTTGTGACTTTGTCTCAGAATTCGCTTGTTCTCCCTTTTCCATTGTGGCACCTCTGACTCTATTCAGTATGAAGATGTAATCTTTCCCTTGACTTAGTGAGAAGGTTTAATCTCTCCCTTGACTTAGTGGGTCATGAGAGCCATTTCTACCGACTTGAGATTCACTGACCAGACTGTGCACATTGGCATCTCTTACTGTGGTTTCCAGAGGGAGACAACAATTTTCTTTTATTTTAATAGAAACTACTGTGCCCAGGGACATAGTGAGAGGCTATTTTTCTTCTTATCAGTGAGGAACAGTTAGGAAGAACTTATTTCAAATTTATGGGTACGAGAAACAGAAAATCACACATAGGCAGTTTTGAATTTGAAATTATCCTAATGGGTATGCTATGGGTTCAGTGAATATAGCCTCATGTAAACCAAACTCAAAACCTATCTCCTCTCTTTCAGTTCCCACCAAACAGAAACACACTTTTCACTTAGGTTGCTCTTTGGATTTTTCTAGATTTCAGACATCTGGAGATGTCACTTTTTCATTGTCTCATCAGCAGGCAAGTGATTATATTATGTATTTGTATAAGAATAAGATACACACATATATATAAATATACATATTATTTGTGTTCTTAACCCCATTTTCCCACACAGATGTGATATTATTCAGTATACTCCACATATCAAAACTTTGTAGACATTAATGATTAATAATTGGTAATTTTATGGTCAATTTTATTTCTCAGTACATTACTACCATTGATGTATTTTGATATTTGCATTTTATGCATGCAGGATTTTTAGGAAGTCATAGGAATTATATATATAGGAAAAATTATCTAAAATAGAATGAAAGGAAAAATGCCTAGATAAAAAACTTAGTACATAAATTATGATATGGGGTGTGAGGAAACGAATTGAGTCTTTCATATAAACTGATGGTTAAAATTTTCTTTGTTACTAGACTGTCTGGATTCTGATAAATCCCTCTCTTTTATCAATGGTGGGAACTGGGCAGCATTTAGTGCCTCCGTATATAAGGACATGCATCTGTACACATTCTGACAGAACTTCTCAAACAGGTATATTTTGAAATTTAAGTCAATTACTTTTGTCTAAAACATTCTGAGAACCTCTGGCACCTGGTAAGTCCTATAGTGTTTTCCTCTCATGGAAATGCCACTGTTAATATCTATCTATGACTCAAATAAGTGGGTATACTTTGAAAGTTAGGAAAGTTCTTATTTAAAAGACATATTTTATTATCTGTGAATGGAAATAAATTATTCTAATTTATGTGGCATAAAGACAGTGATCCTTCATGTCTATCAAAGATTCTCTGATATGGAGTGACATCCACAAGAAGGTAACCGAATGGCCTCCAGAGACTTGACCATGGGAATCATCTTCCTTTCCCAGACTGGACTTGGAATCCTGGGGAACTCTGCCTTTCTTTACCACTTGCTCCTGACTGACTTCACTGGGAACAGGATGAAACCTACAGATCTGATTTTTAAACACCTGACCTTGGCCAATTTCATGGTTCTTCTCTTTAAAGGAATACCTCAGACAATGGCAGGCTTTGGTCTGAATTATTTCCTTGATAATGTTGCTTGTAAACTTGTTTTTTATTTCCACAGAGTTGCCAGAGGGGTTTCCTTTAGTTCTACTTCACTCTTGAGTATCTTTCAGGCAATCACCATCAGCCCAAGTAATTCTAGGTGGGTATGTTTCAAGGTCAGAGCCCCAAAGATAATCAGTCCCTCTCTGGGTCTTTGCTGGGCCTTACACATGCTGACAAATGTCCTCATTCCCTTTAATGTCACTGACACATGGAGTGGAAGAAATCTTACTTGGATGAAAGATTTAGGGTACTGTGCTGTTGTAAATACTAAGACACTGACTGGTATGGTATACTTGTTCCTATTGGCCTCCACTGATGTCATGTGCTTGACACTCATGCTGTGGGCCAGTAGTTCCATGATGTTTATCCTGTTCAGGCACAAGAAGAGGGTCCAACACATTCACAGGTCTTTTTCTCTTACGTCATCCCCTGAGACCAGAGCCACACAAAGCATCCTTACCCTGATGAGCAGCTTTGTGCTTTTTTATGCAACTTCTGTCTTCTTAACAATGTATTTGTCTGCCTCTGATGGAGCCACTAGGTGGCTGGCTGACACCAGTGTAGCCATGGCTTCAAGTTTCTCAGCCTTCTGCCCCTTTCTGCTCATGAGCTACTACACCCCTGTTTCTAGGCTCTGCTCTACTTGCTGTTATCCAGTGCCAAATCATTCTAACATAGTCAGAGATCAGTAAAATTTATATGTTCTGCACATATACTATACTTTTTTTTTCAATTCAACCTTATTATGCATCATTTCCTGAACATGAGACTTTACCTTATGCACACATTATCTACAGGCTCTCTCCCATATGATTTCTAATATTTTCTGGAATCCAGGGTAAACTCAATGCATGATGCAAATGCTAATATAATTTCTGCCAGTGGCCCAATGGAGAACATTTCAGTACTAGTGAAATTTAAGCCTTGGGGCTTTATGGATTGTTGTGATTATTTTGAACTTCTATGAGGATGGAATTTTCATTCACAGATCTCACTGTTGACAAAGGTTTGTGAGCATAGGTCTGTTACTAGATCCTTATCCTAAAGGGAGAAACAAGTGCCAAGGCCATTCACCAAATAGGACCAAGTTCAGAGAATAAAATTGAGTCGGAGTGGGCTGAGATGGAAGCCTTGAGTTGTGCAAGTTTTGGTTGGTACAGGATATTTGGAGTCAGATCATCACTTTGGTTCCTAAAATCCTAAAGATTATGACCAACATTGAAAGGATGATATGTGTGATGGAATAATACAATTTGGTTATATTTATATAAAGCTTCAGGAAAAAACCCGAATCAGAACTGAAACAGAGAAATTATGCAAAACATCAATTAGTAGGAGTTGTTAGAATATTTAGGACAAGCTACATACAGAGAAAAAAATATTTAGGATGCACCAAATAATGGCTTAAACAAAAATGAGTATGAAGTTTGAGAAACAGACCTGTGGGTTCACTGGAATATTGGCCAGTTTGAAGTCAGGCATGATGAAATTTCAAATGAACAAGAGAATAAATAAATCAAAAATGAACTGGAATAATTCTACCTTGGAGGAATATGCCTTGTATGGAATTATGAGATTTTTCCATCTCTATATATGTAACATAATTTATTGGGAAAAGTCATGAATTTAAAATATAAGTACTGAGGTGTGGATCTTGCAAAAAACTTGAGGCAGAAAACATCAAATTTTAAATGACAAAAGAGCAAATATTTTCTTAATTAGGCATTTTAAGGTATATTGTTCAGATTCACTTGATAAATGTAAGTGAACAATTAGCATATTAGATCCTCTTATGCTTTCAATGTGAAAGATCCACCACATGATCCTGTGTCCAATACTTGGTCATATGCTGGTAGTACTATTTTCAGATGTTCTGTACTTTTTAGGAGGTGGGGCATAGCTGGAGGAAGTCAGTCACTGGGAGCATGACTTTGAAGGTTATCCCTTATGACTAGTTCCTTCTCTGTCAATATTTCCAGTCTGTCATGAGATTAAGAATTTACTCTGCCTCATACTTTTATCACCATTATATTCTGCCCAGGCAGATGGGGTCAACCATTGACTGAACCATCTGAAACTGTGAGCAAAGATAAGTTTTTCCTCTTCTAAATTGTTCACTCAGATATTTTGTCCACACCTACTAAAAAGAAATTAATACAGAAGCAATGCAGACACCCCTTTTAAAATGTGTTAGCAGAACACTCATGTTTATTGCAACACTATTCACAATAGCCAAGCTGTGGAAATAGCCAAGATGCCCCACTACTGACAGATGGATTAAGAAAATGTGGTATTTATGCACAATGGAATTTTACCAGCCACAAAGAAGAATGAAAGTCTGTCTTTTGCAAGTAAATGGATAGAACTGGAGAACATCATCTTAAGCAAAGTTAGGCAGGTGCAGAAGGCCAAAAGTCAAGTGTTCTCTCTCATAAACAGATTATGGGCCTAAAACAAATGCATTAATGTAATTATATTATATTATATCATATTATATTATATTACATTATATTATATTATATTAAAATGTGTGTGATATGGGTCACACACTAAGGGGGAGAACACACAGGGGAGGAACAGGTAAAGGTAAGGAAACCTAAAATTTTAATGTGGTTGATGTGCTCACTGTAGAGGAGCAAATATAGTAATCTTAATGTAGCAGAGGCCACCATGGGAAGAGGACTAGGAAATAGTGAAGAAGTCCAGTAGAGATGAACCAATGTGGGTTGTAATACACATGTGCATGGATGTAACACTAGGAATCTCTCTGTATAGCTATCTTTATGTCATCTAACAAAATGCTATGTCTTTCTTATTATCTCATGTTTTTCCTTAACAAAATCAGAGAACAAGATGGGGGAACAAGTTCTGCCTGGAAGCAGTGCGGGGAGGAGGTGGCCCCAAAATGTATACACATATGAGTAAATGTAAAAATGATAAAATAAAAACTTTCTGATGTTTTAAAAAAAGTATATCCACAATAAATATTTGTTGAATAAATGAAGAAGCTGTAACCTGGCAACCCATCTAATCCTTCCATTCCTGATGTCATATTACATAAACCACTAACTCCCAGGAATAAGTACAGTGTCAATACTACCATCAAGAGTTTTGCTGTTTAAATGTGAAGCATATTCTATAATCCTGTGTTTCACTTCTGTAGGCCAAATCTGTCGTATGGCCTATATTTATAAATAAAGCTTTATTTGAACAGTGAAAAATTATGTTAGCATAGTCGTAGTATATTGCCTGTGTGTCAGATTACACACTAAATACCCCTTAATACCATTGAATAGATAATGCACAGAATACCATCGAATTATACTGGAAAACTATACATAATAGTATAAAATTTTAAAGCATTATTCAAAGGAAATGTTTTTATGGTAAATAGTGATGTTGAAAGACATCAAATTTATATATTATGTTCACTTAGATAAAATGCAGACAAGCTAGCTATTTCATTCTACTAGAGTTAGAATGAAATTAGAAAAAAAATCCATATCTTAAATTTCCGGTTTAATACAGGAAAAACCAACTACATATACAAATAAGAAAACAAAAAGGACATAAATCATTTGGTAACAATGAACTGTTGAGAGAATATACAATATAAACTTTGCAGTGGCTGCTAAATTAGGATTTGGTAGAAGTGACTAAAATGTTGCAATATTAACTTGAAGATTTGAAAGGTCATTGTTAGGAATTAAAGAATGAGTAGAGAGTAGTCTTACACACAATATGTTTTTTTTTTCTTTTTGTTACACACATTATTAGATTCACCACTGTGAGATTCCTCAAATAGAGTTTCAAAGCCATTTGATAAGCGAGGAGAAAGGTAATCTCTCTCTCTGTAAGTAAGTGCAGAAGAGGAAAGAAGACATTTTAAAATCAAGTCAAATGCTTGATTGTGCCATAATTGCAGACAGAAATGTAGTGCAATCCGAGGGAGCAAAGCAAGATGTAGTTAGGTTTGGGGAACAGACTGAGTGTTCTATGGGTTCCTAAATCTGCTCAAATATTTGGAATTTCTATCAGTAGCAATTTCAAACCTGTGGCTTCACTCATTGAGTGTTACCATGAGGCTATTGTCAGAAGATTGACCCCTTCCTCACTTCTCATGACATAGTCCTATAATTTCAATGTACTATTCAGAAAGGCAGATGCCAAGTAAAACACTGTATATTTAGAAGCCCTAGAAAATTATCCTCTTCATGAATAAATTATAGCTGAACTGGACATTAATAGACAAAGAATAACTTCATATTCCCAAATTCTAGCGGCGAAAAACATGATGGAGGCTGGAAAAGTTTGTAGATCCCATGAACTTCCTGACTGAGGTTTCTCATGTTACCATAAATCTTCTTTATGCTTCCACCCAAAAGTTGAAGCAATGTTCTTTGGTATAAAGTCAACAGCACAGCATACTTCAAAAACTCATTCCCTATTACAGACCATAAATACATCCAGGGCCCAAAGTTTCTCCTCTTGATCTCAGAGAAATCACAGCTTCATGTGAGTAAATTGTAGCACCTTGGGATCATACATTAATATCACCTTCAATTCAATGAAGTGAATACAGTACAATCCTTATTACTAACAGAAACTACCAAATGCTTTTTCAAATAGGCATTTGGTGAACTATAAAATATTGGCAATTTATCATCCTAATATAAAATGACAGTCTTCTTGGGGCTGTAAGATTTAGGTCAGAAATCACTTAAGTGAAGCAAAAACAATCACCAGGTCATGGTTAATGACAGCCTATTATGAATGTATTTTTTTTGAGTTCTTGGAATGGAACTCAATTGGTCCTCCATCCTCAAGTCTGAAATAGCTTGGCCTACAGGAGTGCAATGCCAAGCTTGGTTCTGATGCATTTAAAAATGTGGACTAATCCAAGTTCTTCTGTCTATGTTAAAAAATATATTTGTTATTAAATATGGGCCTTGTGGAGACAATGCTAGAGGTCTATGATAAAGCTATACCCTAGACTGTAAGAAGTGGAGTCAACACTTTTGTGTTTCACACAGAGAAGTGTGAGGGTCACACAAGAGGATATCACAACCAATATTATGCAATGAGTCAATGAAGTGTTCCTTGACTTTCATATTATCCCTAAACCTTTCCTTTTCCAGGAAGGGCATCTGATTCAACCCATTTATCTGGAGAAAGCTGATAATCCCTTAAGAATTAACTGGGTGGATCTTCAGGAATCTGATCAGATGCTGCTTTCTCATTGGACAGGAGGAGTTTAAAAGGTGAGATGCTTGTAGAAAGGCCAATACAGCTTCAGAGGAGCCAGGGGAGAGAATCAGACTTCTGGAGCTTGCAGTCACTGCCTGGCCCTGCTGGGATTCTACATCTGGTAAGTCACTTACTCCCCTCCATAGAACACTCCAGTTGAGGAATTTTAAAACTTGGGTTGGACTCCAAGTGAAGCTTTGCCTTCACCCCAAATGTGTTTAATCATTCTTTAGTTTGGCAATTTTTAGCTTCTTAAACAAAATTACTTTTTAAAACAAATGATCAAATTGAATTGAATTGAAAAGTTTTCATTTAAAATGGGGATTGTGTTTATTTGTTTGCTTGTTTATTTAATGTTTTGGCATTACTGTAGTTTATTTCACCTGAAGCTTAACCCTTTTTAAGCAGCACTCTACCAACTGAGCCACGATAGAGCCATTTTTTG